ATCACCGGAAAGGGCACGGCTGTTTCCAGAAGCTTGACAAGGTTGGGGTAGCATGAGGGAGTTTCAAACGAGCGGGTTTTAGAAGGCATGGTAGATTTCTTAGCAGGTGTAACTGTTTTGATGCTTGGAATGCCAGTCTTATCAGGGCTTAAGGGGTGCTACTGGGGCCGAGGGTTTCGGGGCCTTCCGGGTAAGGGTAGGAAGCTAGATGGGTTCCTAGAAGTTGGTATTGCTTGCTTGCTTTTGCTGTCCAAATTTAATTTCTGAGCTTACAGCATCCACCAGGGTGTAAGGAGCACCTCCACAAACGCCATGGCAATTTGACTGGTGAAAATTTCTACCGCGATGCGGAAGGCACACTGGGGCTGGCAACTGAGCCTGTCCACAAGCTGTTCGCTAAATATGGATTCTATGAACAGTTGGAAATGACTTGTTACACTTGCCGAGAAGCTGTGGGTCTGCGGTCCAGCTCCAGGCTTAAAGTTGCAATCTGTGTGCAGCCAGTATCCACCGAAAGCTTGCGCAGAGACATGCCCAGTTTGCAGCACGTTCGAGACCAAGATCTAGTACCATGATGAGAATGGAGCTCAAGTTCAGCTTCTTACCTTGCACACACACTGCTTGTTTGGCCAGGTCGCCCCATTTCGCCCCGAACCTGAGGCCATAAACCCAAGTTTGTGCATCCTAGAAAAGATCCCCTGACCACACCCCTCGAACCCTAAGACCCAGACTCGAATCCTCATCCCGACAAACCCCTGTTTTGAGGCACAAGCTTCAAGGGGCGGGCAAGGAAGATCGCACCATCATCCGCCTCCGCATCTTTGCATGGCTTGGCGAGTCGATGTGAAGAGTCTCGAGGGTCCAGCATGTAGAGAATCAGGGTCTAGAGATGATGGTTATCGGTTTCAGGGCGGTATACCGTTCAGGGCCGGGACCATTCTTTTTACTCGCCACCATACAGAAGTCGCCAACAGTTCCAACACAGTCATTGCATCATTGTTAACCTGTTGCATAAGGACCGTGGCAAGGCTGCTAACCTGAACAAGTCTTTCCCTAGACAAGGATGGACAATCAATCCTACATACAAAGAGGATCCGATCATGATTGATGTTGACTTATACGTTACATCTCCTCTGGATATTTAAGCCAACGGAAGAAGGATGACTTTATGATGCCATTGATGGCCCTGCCTCTTCATTGACTTTAAGGCCTAATGACCTTGATTGAGGCATGCTCACAACTGATGGCATGGAGTTTGAGCCCAGCCCTTGGAATTTGGGAACACGGTGGCAAGACACACCCAGGGAACCTACCGCAATCAGTCGGCGCAGGTCGTTGACGTAGGATGCATGTCCGCAATTCGGGAGCACCATCAGGCTGTTGCTGTGTAGATTTGAGTTTAGGATGACCTCTCACAGAAGCCAAGTATGTGGGTTGCCCGTCCGAGTTCGTATGCTGCGAGGGGTGTGTACGGGATTGCCGTTGGCTTTTACAAATCTGCTTTCCATCAGTTTCTTGGCGGAATCGGATTTTCTGATTCCTGAGAGATTTGTGCATTTCTCTTTGGCCTTACGCTTTCCAAGAGGCCCTCATGGAGTGTCTTTACTTCAGGACTCTCGTGTTGAGTTTTTTAGGTCCCTCATTGTTTGTAATTACGAACGGGGTGGCAGCCAAATACATGACATGAGCAAGGAATTCCGGCAGGAGCGGACATGGCCCATGGCGACCCGAGCCCCAAAAAACAGTGGCAGCCTTTGAGAAGCGCTTCCCCAAGTACTTTCTTTCTTAAACATTAAATCGCTAGTTCATTGTCATGTCCGTGGCATGAGAATCACATGAAGACTGCTGAATCCCCAAATCTGTTGAAGCATGATGCTATCGACTAATTAGGAGGCCAGGACTTTCGCCGGGTTGGCCTACATTTGCAGGGTAAGATGCAAAGCAAGGCCAACTTAAATCCATCACCCACACATGGATAGATCGCGCAGTTCCTTTAGTCTGCAACTCTTGTAGGTTGAGCCAGAGGCTCTAGCCTCCCAAGCCCCAAACTTTTCTCTCCAAACCCTCAGAGTTCAGGTTCTAGGGCACCCAAAATTTTGAAACAACACTGAACCTGACAGGACTCTCAGGGAGAGGCCTGTATCCAGCATTCAGGTTCTACGTCTACATGCGCTTCAAGTCTTTGTCTGGCAACCTTCAGGCTGCTTTGCCGGGATTTGTTTTTGGGGGGTGTGCAGGGTTTTGACCCTTGGGAGTTATGATTTATGATTTATGGGCGGGTTCAGAGACTTAAGCTTTCAGGACTTAGGCTTGAAAGGTTGGGGCCATATAAGATGCTGCAGTTTTGAGACTTCAGTTGACTGGCTGAATCAGTTTCGCTTTTGAGGGTTGAGGGGGGCAAGATACCAAAAAGATGCACAGAGCACCAATTGCTGTGCCCTTTGAGGTGCCATGTTATGCCTCGTGTGTTGTAGGACTAACGGCTAGGTGGGTCTCAGGCATTTTGGTGGTGGGGGCATGAGCTGTGGGGGTTGTGAAGCTCGACCTCTGAGCCACCATGACTGGAGAGTGGGCGGCGTCACAATGCGATGACACTTTGCATCAGCAGGCACCCCTTTGCGTGCGCTTATGTCCTTTGAGCGGAGTACCCTTTTTCGAAGAAATGTCGATGCGAATATGATTCCATATTCTTTTGTAGGCCTTTGTCAAAGAGGTGACTCTTCATCGTCCAGCCAGACCTTCAAACCTAAGTCTCTTGTCAGAAGCCTTGAGCTCCAACTCCCCACCAAACCCCAAACTCTTAAAACTCCTGAAATCCAAGTTTGCAAGGCAACAAGCAGTGTACGTGCCGCAGTCACAAGCTGTAGCCCCAGAGCTTGCAGGATGTTGAAGGTTATGTGGACGAGTTCTTAAAGCTCTTCCCGCGGTCTGGGACTCAGGGCTCTCAGCTTCCTTTTTTGTTGTCTCTCCAGTCGCAAGGTCTTGCTTGCCCAGAACCGGAACTTCTCAAATCCTGAACCCCAAAATCCAAACCAGCGCCCTCAAAGGGATGGAATTGGAAGTCAGTGATGGCATTGTCCACGACTTGGGGTCTACTGCGAAGTGATTGAACAGCGGTTTACATGAATGCTCACTTGAAACTCAGCATTTTTTCAGCAGTAGCTTGCAAAAGCTCATTTCAGTTTAGGAGATGCAGCTGTCCGAATGCTGGCTACAGATACATGTATACCCGTAGTAGGCATCCCAAAGACGGGTGCAGGTAAAGTAGAGCCCAAGCTTCAGCAGACTTCATTCGGATGCACAGACACGCACTGTGCAGTCAACAACTTCAGGCTCCCTTTTCAAAGCGAGCTCATACTGTAGTGTCCCTCAGTAGGCAAGTTTCTCGAAGAACCTGTGGGCCTGTCTTGGGGTCAGCTTCAAGGGGATGATTGCATTACAGTAGAGACATGGAAGGAGACTTACCCACTTTGCTTGCTGAAGAGAGCTGGGAGAAGAATAGACACGAGCATCATGGATGTTCACACAATCCCTTCGGCCTGCGTGGTTAAAAGAAGAGGACTTGAAGAGGACCGCCTTCTAGATATGCATGTATGTCAAACTTGCGGGCCCCCAGAGCCTTGTAAGTTTTCGAAGATGAAGCCTGTTCATACATGCAGTATTCAAGGTTTTATCACGTTTTGGACGAACAACAAAACCAAGCCTTGATCATCAATAGCTATATGCCCTTGCTGGAGCAGCGATCTCATGAAGTGACAGGGTCCAAAATCACAGGCATATCACGCTAGTGGTTGGGCAGCCAGGCCCTTCTGTGCCCAAGCCATCATCATTATCTCAGGAATTCATGACTATGCTTGATATCTAGCCACCCCCAAAGCAGCTGAAACCCTGGACAGCCAGGTCCCGCTACAGTCCCAACGAGAAGTGCACGCCGACAAATTTGGATCCTGCCTTCTGCGCCTGTGGGGACCCGGCCCGACTCCCAGATGCTTTGACTGAAGTGTTTGAACAAGCAACTACAAACCCCAAACAATGCTAAGAGGTTCTCCGGGTTTTGCAGGAATTCTATGAATGCTGATGAGTAATTTGGGGCCAGCAAAGTGACAAAATGCAGGGATCGAAACCCGATACGGCAGCTCCTCATTGTTTTGGTGGTCTCTCCTGACATGGCTGTGGGCATTGTATTAGGCTTTACTCTGGGTCATGGTTGTAGGGAGAGCAGTTGCTCGCACATTGTAGGATTTTTGCAGAACTTCCACGTGGCTTGTGAACTCTTGATTCCGGCGGACCCACAACTAGCAGTCTGGAAAGATTTCTTCAAGTTTGGCGACTCCATGGCGCATGGCAGACTAGGACTTGCAAGACTCCCTCTTGCCTTTTTGGGTTGTGGTGCTGTGGCTTGATCCACATATTGACCTGAGATTTTGACCTGTACACAAATCACACCGTAGACACAATGCCCGAAGGCTGAACTCCGAAAGCGGCCGGCCATTGATGAGGCGCGGCAGCAGATTTGATGGCTGGCTGATGGGGGTGTTCAGGTTCAGGGTTTAGGGGTCTGAGGTTTAGGATCTCAGAGGTCCACAGGGGCTTGTTTAAGATTAAGGTACAGTCAAGGGGTTAGGCTTTCCGGGGCCGCAATCCCAACGCTGAAGATTTAGAGAGGAACCTAGAGGCCACTAGTCAATGACGTTCGGGGTCCCGTTCCTGAATCTTTTGTTGCAAAGAACCTTCTCCCAAGACCGTGGGCGGGGCGATCAGACACCTCAGGGAGTCTCCTGACCAACTTGGGGCGAAGCTGAAGCTGTGTAGGGGTTTGGGCTCTGGGGCTTTCAGGTCTATGGTTTGCGTGACAGCTTGCTAATGCCACTGCTATTCATCCCAGAAGCCCTGGACCCAGACACCATAGTCCCCAAGCCCCAACTAAGCCTGGAGCATTATACCCCAGCGCTTACACCCCAACCTCTAAGCCCCCAAGTCCAAATCCTCCCCAACCCCAGGACGTTCCAGCCACGACAACCTGAACACAGTGAACCTGAGCTGCTGATTTTCCACCAGTCCCCCGAGCCGGCCGTTTGGATCTCGGTGGGTCTCAGGCTTGAGACATATTTGGAGATCCTTGGGTTGTCACAGGGACGTACTTGGAGGTTATTGAGTCTTGGGTCATCAAAAACGGGTTGTAAGTAGAATGCTGTTCTTAGGTTTTTCTGGTTTGGCCCCTGAAGAATGTTTATTTGCAAGTGTAGTCCAATGAGGCCTGAGCCCAAATCTTGAAACTTGAGCCCGAAGCCCAAACCCGAAGCACGCAATCGTAAAGCCTAACCCACAAGACCTGAACTATGAGGGCTCCCGAAAGGGGTTTGCCTTGCGCAAGGACATTATGAAGGTCCCGGGTTCCAGGAGGTCCCGTTTGAATATAGTACAAAGGTCACTCCTATCCTTTTCTGCAACAGCACTCTACACCGATGTGAACATTGAAGGGCAACCTGTCATGGCAAGACGCAATGCCTAGCCCAACTCCCTAGGTCGCAAGCCAAATCCAAACCCTCATCCCTGAACCCTACGCCCTAAATCATCAATTGCTTTTGAGCAGCCTCCAAACATTATTTTGGCAAGTCATGGGAAGTTGAGGTCGACAACGCGAAACTTGGTGCCAAGCGCTGCCAGGACGACGCCAGAGGCGCCGAGCCTTAACTCAGTTTGACAGGTGCTGTCTGAATGAGGTTCAAATTGGGGTCAAACGTCGGAGATGTAGGGGGAGAAACAGGGTTGCGTGGTTCCTTGTTTTGGCTAGACGACGGTTTGCTATTGCCCCAGAAGCAGCTGCAAGTAGTTCCCTTGCGAGGGTTTCAGGCAGGTATGAAGAGTTCCTGTTTCAAGGACTTCAGTCATCGTTTTCATAATCTCGAGAAACAGGACCCTCGTTAGTGAGCCACTTGCCAGGTCACCGCACACTTCCACTACCAAGAATTGTCGACCTGCACCAAAAAGGTAGGAGGGTATAAAGATCATACTTCAAAGCACCCAAGTTGTGTAAACAGGTTGTAGCCTATAGCCTCTTGTAATTCGCAGTTGACACTAGATTTACGAATCTACCGCCTACTAATGGCACGGAATGGGCCAATGAACCTGTGAATGTAGACGTTGTAACCTTTGAGCTCCAAGCCCAAAACCTAGACCCGTGAAACCCCTCAAGCCGCCAGAAGACCCTGCAAATCCCTTCGCCCCCAAACCCCAAACTCGCAAATGGAGGTCTGTTGCTCGAAGATCCCCCATTTGTGAAGAAGTCCATGGGCGACAACCTCCTGAGACTGATGGGGCAATTGGGAGGTTCCTGGGTGGCTGTAAGTGGCGTAGAGGGCTTAGAAAGATTGGAGAGGGTTGTAAAGAGTTTTCAGGCATCGGTGACGGTTTGGCTGCAGGGGGGGTTGTATGTATCTAGTTCTGCTGGCGCTTACAGCTACTCATGAACCTCCACCAGGCCCACAGATGTCGGCGTTCCTCACACACGGACTTGCGGTGTAGGGCTCAAGGACTTCGGGTGTAGGGACTGGGATCCCAGCTTGCTGCTTTTCGGTGTTATGGTTAAGCGGCGATTTCCAGACCATTCCTCAGGCTTTTCAAGGCATCAATGGTTGCAAGCTTTCCCAAATGCGACAATCTAAGTCATTTGCAAGGGGCCTGGGGCTTTAGTCAAAATGCAACTTCTCAAAAGGGAGCCTAACAAATCCTTGTATAAATCAAGATGATTCTGAAAACAGCAACGTCCAAACAGCCATCCGAAGCATTGTGATTCAAGCGTTAAGCGTTCTGGCGGATATCTGAAAACGCGTCTAGAAGGCAAGATAGGGAAGTATAGGCTTGAGAACTCGCTAGACATCTTCTTACATAGAGAAAAACCAGCCCGCTTCTAATGATAGAGTTTTCTAGAATATGGGGGGGGGAGTGGGGTATAGCCTATACCCCACTCCCCCCCCCCCTATAGGTCTCTTTGCTACCTGCTCGCAGTCTGTGCAAAGGTAAGCCCTTGAATCCCAAATCCTCAACCTTGCATCGCCATGTCCGGAACCCTGAAATCCTGAGCGCTAAGCGCCACACCCTCCGCTCGAACATAAACTAAAAGCTTTAAGCCTGAACTCGAAACCCTAAATACCAATCTGCAGCAAGAGCATGCAGCCCGCCAGCTGAGCTTGAGCTCCAGCAATACCTTCGGAGGGATCCCAACTGCCATCTTGTGGTTTTTGAGATGCGGGAAAGGGGTTTAAGCTTAGGTTTTGAGGGTGGGCTTAGGGCATGGGTTTTTCAGGACGAGGGTTTAGGGATGCGCTGCTCAGGGATTAGGAATGGTTGTGAATCCGTAGCTGCTAGCAACCACAAGGGAATCCCTACTGCAGCTTGTATCAGACCTAAGTCGAAATCACCATTGCCTACTGCAAACCATGTTGGTCCACAAAAGTGACCAAAGGACAGCAGTGGAGATCAGTTCTCCTTGTGTATCTTAAC